GTTCAGCGGTAAACCCTTTTCGAATCTAGTTGTTACTGGTTGTGCAACGTCTCTAGGAGATTTGGGTTTTGAGAATTTGGCTGAAGATCACGACGACATTACTCTTTCAGTTGATTTGTTAAATTGTAAATAGTTTTAACTTTATGTAGCTAAGGTATATTTTATTGTGTAAATAGTGTCCCCAATTTGGTTTTTTTTTCAAGCTAAATACTTTTCATTCATTCATTCATTCATTCAGTCTATCGTCATCTGTTTCACCTTGATATTGTTTGAACTTTTAAAGCAAAAAATAAGTGACAATTATTATATCTCTCAGTTAGTACGCGCGCTGTGATTGGTCAATTTAGCGGGCCGTATTCTCCTGTACGGCTCGCTAAAATTTAGAGCTGTTTTTGTTCCCAAAATGTTTCGTGATTTATCGCCAAGTGTTCTTAACTTTTTTAGCAAGCAAAAGTTTAAAACTTTTTTTTTATTTCTAAAATTGTGTATTAAAACCTACTTAACAATGATTTCAAATTGAGTCGTTTTGCTTTCGAGGTGCGTCAAAAATTTGAAGTCGTTCCGCGTGAATAGAAATCGTTCCCGAGCCCGTCAGACACACAGTAGAGNTATTCTCCTGTACGGCTCGCTAAAATTTAGAGCTGTTTTTGTTGCCAAAATGTTTCGTGATTTATCGCCAGGTGTTCTTAACTTTTTTAGCAAGTAAAAGTTAAAGTAAAACTTTCTTTTATTTCTAAAATTGTGTATTAAAACCTACTTAACAATGATTTCAAATTGAGCCGTTTTGCTTTCGAGGTGCGTCAAAAATTTGAAGTCGTTCCGCGTGAATAGAAATCGTTCCCGAGCCCGTCAGACACACAGTAGAGATATAATAAATATCTTACTAACCTCGTCTTCTCGGTCCGTACTAGTTACGTAACTTACAGTGCGGCCCTCGAACTCGGTTAGTAAGAGGTATGTATTTTTTATCTACTAGGTCTTTCAGATCTGGTTCAAATGCCATCATTCCACGCCCAACTTGGCCAATAAGCAACTACCCTGGGAATGTTTACCCATCAACCACGCCCCCAAAAGGTGAGACTGACTATAACGCAATGGACTTCAACCTGTGGAATGACCTGGGTCACGAGTTTATGGTGAAATCTAACATTAACCACTGGATCGCTTGCAAAGAAGGAACCGGAAGTCTGGTGGACTTCAAGCAAGGAAATCTACAGTGCCGCATCATCAAGAATGTTGCAACCAAGTGTCACAACTACGTTCCAGATCAGCTAATTCTTCACTCGGCAGGAAATCCCGCTGGTTCTACCCTAGGTCCTGATCTGATACGATCTCAAAGCACTTCGCGGCTGAAGGAGTACTACTACTTCGAATCTAACACGCGCACCGGAAATTGGCCTACCCACGATCCTTGTGGTACCAACGGACTGAACCACCTCACCCAAGTGAATGGACCTCGCGGCAATATCTACATCCGGGAGTGATGCGCGTTAACTTTGCCTTGTATTGTTCACAGGAAGTTCAAGCACGGCTCTCGGTGGCAAACGATTAATACGTATCTGTATAAGAATGTGAACTGATCTTTACAGCTTGAAACAAAACGGCTAAAGTTTGTTTTCTTCTTTTATCATGAGTTGGCAAATTAATGGAAGGAAGCTTCAAATGTGCCATTGAACGCTCAATCACAGACACACTGTATTCTTTGGTTGACTTTCTTTTTATTATGTTCTGTCATGGATTCGTTGCTTTTTTGTTTCCTTTTTATTTTCATACAGATACTTAGTAAATCGTTTCAGATTGTTGCAGTCAGTCTCCCTGTAGTGTTACTGAC